AAATGTGCATGGAATCGTCTTGAAAAGAAACGTCAAGATTCTCAAAGAACAAGCATACTGGAATAAGACTGGCTCTGTGTTCTTATCTGCAGTATCCCAGAGGTCCAGTTCAAGCTCTCAAAGTCCAAGGTCTGCAAGCAGTGTAAGCATAAGATCAAGACCTTTAAGCGTGGCCTCTGCCAAGAAACAAGAAGTTGCTAGCCACATCTCAAGCCCCTTTGAAGGTCATACAAGAAATGGTACATGGGAAACAAGAGCTTGGAAACCTTAAAGCTTGCACTACAAGAAGCAGAAAATGACGCAAAAGACGAAATACATCAGATTAGAAGCGCAGGTAGATAGCGCTCTTAGAGACAGTTAAGAAGTAGAATGCTGCACAAAAAAAGCACAACTACAAGTCTATGAACAAGAGGTGTACAAGCGTAGAGTTACTCCAAGACTGCAGGAGAAACATGCACAACCCAAGAAGTCTTACAGTACATCCCCTGGCACCTGGCACCACAATATGCCACATATGTACAACCTGCTTTTACATGAACACAAATGCCACAAGGGGACAACCTGCTACTAACGCTCATCATGAGGACTACAGCAATTGCCATAGCAGAGTCCATCAATGCAAGCTGTCTCCCAGTATCAGAGCCTTCTGTTTTCAGTGGAGACCCACTAAGGTCCAAAAACTGCTTAATGTCTTTTCAGACATTGATAGGCAGGAAGAACATTCCAGTAAACCAGAAAGTCTATGCCACACGATGGACGTGCAAAGAAAGCTTTTGAGCTTTCTGTTAGGCATAGATGCAGCCTATCATTTCGGCATGGGGCATCCTAGAAGAAATGTATTGAAGCACCTTTGTAACTGCTAACTCCTTCAGGGATAAGCTCACCTCATGGTGAAAGATATGACCCATAGACAGCATTGAACTAATAGAGTTCTCAGATTTCCTTTGCGGTTTTCAATCAGCATTGTCTTGAAGTCCCAAACAACTGTGGTTAAAACCAAAGAATACTCACCAAGCTTCCTGATTGGTGGAACAGAAAGGTCTGACTGAAGAACCAATCAAGGACTGGTTTCAGGCCAGTTTGTTTAGGTTGTCACAAAAGAAGCCAAGATAGCTTGTAATCAGGTGACCCCTCTTCATGTGGCAAGCAGCTCTGAAGAAATAAGGGCGTGTCTTTTGTCAAACCTCAGCATTTACACATGTTAATGGAAGTCGATAGCAAACAAATAAATTTTGCTTTGGATGTTTGAAATTAGGACACCGTTCAGTTTCTCTGACACATGTAAAAGGAAGCAAGAACAATGGGATGATGAAGAGAAGGAGAATGGGAAAGGTCAAAGGAAACGGAGGAGTCCAAACAGACCAATCAAGAGAAGCAACATCTATCAATCAGCCACAGAATCATTGTGAGACAAGTGACACATTTTCTTCAGTCGCCTGCTAATTTTAATAACTGATGTTCGATAAATATGCTGAAAACAAGTGAAGGAAGTCACTCTACCAGATGCGGTGAAGGTGCTCAAATCAGACCACGACAAAAGAACCGTAGAGGATGCTCACTTCTCTCAAGAGGATCTGCACTTCATATCAGTAATGGGGGAGATTTTGAAGGTATCAAAATCAAGGTAGGCAGTCATTGCAAAGAGACTGCTAGACAATAGGAGATTTGTTTGAGAAAGAGATTTGAGAAAGACAAGCAATACCATAAGGATGAATAAAACTGACTGCAGAGATCGTGAGAAGGTTCCAAAAGAAGAATCTAACAATAGCCCTGCCTAGAACACCCTCACCATGGGGTGTATCACCCGCAGAAACCAAGAAAGTCTAGTGTCGTGTTTGATTGCTCAGCTAAGTTTAAGAAGGTTATTAAATGACCATCTGCTTACCGGGCCAGAATTGATAAATACTTCAATAAATGTTCTTTGTCAGTTTTGCAAGGGTCCAGTAGCAATAATGTGTGTTAATGAACGCATGTTCTATCAGTTTCAGATAAGAGCAGAACACCAAGACTGTTTTCTCTGGTGGGACAATTGGGACTTTCAATCCCAACAATCTATCGCATGAGAGTACATTTGCTCAGGGAAACCTCATCACCTGGCTGTGCAAACTATGCAAACACTCAAGGTAACCTCCATCTATGACTCACTCGGCTTTGTGGCACCATTTATTCTCCAGGTCAGTCAAAGCAGACACTAGACTCATGCAGCGTTTCAAGGAGCTTAAAGGTTTGACATCTAGAACCAATGAAGCCTGAAGTTTTAAAGAGAGAAATAGGCATTGTTGAAGGACAACCTTCTCTGAGGAAATCCAAAGACTTCAATACATGAGGATGATAACCAAGGATAAGGCCAGCAGGATGCTCAGATTTCTTGGCAAGGCATCCTCAGGGTGGGAGATTGACTAGAGCATGGTGCTTTGCACCCGCAAATCAAGCATCCAGCATTCTTCCCAAAGACTAGCCAAAAAATAAATTTACTGATCAAGCAGTATCATCAACAAGTGCGACACCAAGGGTGTGGCACAACAATGAATGATTAAAATACATCTGGATACTTGGATGTAGTCATGCTGCACGTCCTATATCTACAAATGTGTCATGTGTAGAAAGTTCTGAAGGTTTACTGAAGAGCAAAGAATGGCAGACTTACCCCGTGAACGCATAAAGACAACTCTCTTTACTTACTGTGGAATGGACTGTTTTGTCCCAATCTATGTCAAAGAGGAAGAAGGGTGATACAACAAAAATGTGCCGCAAAACTTGATCAGATCTTGGTCACATTTAGATATTTTCTCTGTCTCTTCGCTTTGGCTTGTACTGTAGAACTAGTGATTGACAATACTGTTGCCAGTGACGAAGACAAGATGAGTTTAAACAGAGGCAGCGAGAAACCTAAATAGTTTGCATTTGGCAGCACCATCTACCCAATAGCTACATTACTGGGGCAGAGTAAGGTGTTAATATGTTATAGAAACATTAACTTTGCACTGGAGTGAGATTTAATATTTAAAAAGAGACTTAAATAAAATTCTTTAATGTGAAACCTACCATACTATAAAGTTGATTCAACTGTCAGAAACAAAGTGAACAAGACATGTCTTTGCTTCTTGCTATCATTTCTTTCTACTGAATGTATGAAACAACTCTGAAATGGCAGCACTCCAAAACACAGTACGAAGACATAACCTCAACTATAACATATTTATACAATGGCTAACATCAGGCTAACGCATTTTGGCACATAAGCCTTCATCAGAGCATCTGTTTTGGCAGAGCATGCAACCAGAGAAGGTTATATGAGGAGGCACACCTGCTATACGTTATTCACTGCTTGCTCTCATTCTCATCAGGTGTAGTGTAGTCATAGAACTGACAAACTGCTGCTTGCAGCCTAAGTAAGATCCTTGTGAATAATACATACTTAAATGACATGCATTAGATTGTATCCGTTAAATATGAAAATAATCACCCAAATTATTTCTACAAAATGTTAATCAATGTACTTCTAGCATTGAGTGAAACATACTCAATATTCTAAACATATGTTATCAAAGCCAAACTTCCATGGTGAATTAGGATGTAAAGTTCTTGAGGCAATAAACATATGTATCATGTAATCATTAAATTATTTTGTTTAATGTAGTCTAGCTTTTTTTTACAAATAACCTGGCTGCAAAGCACAGTCATACTCTGTAGGTGAGTCATGCCACATTGTCTACCCAGCATTCATTCTTTTCTCAATAAGTTGAATGCCACTTCTATCATTTCTGACTGTGCTTAACTGTACACGTTCAATAAAAACAGAAGTATTTGAAGAAATAATAGAGGAGAAATGTTGGTGGCAAACATCGGATGATCATGAATTTTGCATGCGTGGGTTTTTTTCAGCATGTCGATATATTTCAAGATAAGGTAGATTTTTGGCCACGCAACAGTGGACCTGGAGCAAATTTAAGTGGTGACAGATGTACTTACACTACTTACACTAACACACACTATTGTGTTACTTGCTCTCATTAAATTAACATCACACTCCGTTAACATCCCCTGGAAGTAAAAAGCCTCCCTTTGTTCTTTGTTTTGCAGACAGTGATTGTAGTAAGCGGTCATAAGCTTTTCTGAATACAAAGTTTTTGAATGCAAGTGTAAAGCAGCAACAATAAAGCTGGTGATAAAATGAATAGGCACACTGATATACTGCTTTGAATTAAAGCCATCACTGTGGCTGTCAGTCAGTGTTGAGTTATGATGTCATCAGCGAGTGGCCTTGCACAGACCAGACCCCAGATGCCAATGTCAAAACAATGAAACAGGAAACATCCTCCTTAAAGGAATCATATACATTGTAGGGACAGGCGCTATACGTAGGTTTTTCTTCAAACCTTTATTTTTTACATTAAAGTAACCATCATTGGCAAAACCATTGGCAATGGACTTCTATGCTGTTTAAAAATCGAACTATTTTTAAACATCTATTCTGGTTAGTTTCAATAAAATAATCAACCCAAATGACATGCACTAATGACTTGTCCAACATTCCCTCTATTTTCAGCAATTATCAAAATAACCATTATTCTAAAGAGCTTTTCTTAAAGATGCCCAATTTCCAATAAAAGTTAATGGGGTGGAAAGGTGTTCCATGATCTGCAAATTCTCAAAAATACTGCTGTGTAAAACAGACCATAAAGCATCTGTAATCAGAAAAGCATTAAAAAAATCAATATGTTCATGATCTCTGCTTTAAAAAAAAACATAGCATTTGACTGCTCTTCTCCGTGTGTGCCCTACTTCTCGAGGAGCAGCCATCTTCGTATCATATATGAATAGATGCATAGTAATGACATGGTAGCAGTTACTTCAAAGCATACATTTTGCCACAAGCCAACTCTTTGACAGATTTCAGAGGATTGACTGGCAAATATAATTGTGTGCACACCTTGACTTGTAAATACCCTCGACAAGTGAGCCTGAGACTCTAAAACAGATGTAGCCACAACACCTACCTCCAAAATCAGGCCTTAAACGGATGTCATATCCCTTCAGCAACTTGTCCACGGTGGTCTTGGCCACAGACATTCCGGTGCTTCCAGTGGAGGAGCTGAGGGCAGAAACCACAAATGTAAGAGCCATTTTAAGCAGTGGGGGGGAAGCAGCAAAAACGGGATGCCTGATATTTTTGGCAAAGACATTTCTGTTTCTCTACACCACACCAACTGTACTGTATGATGAATCCTGAAAATTATTACTGCATGTACTCTCTGTTCCCAACATTAATGACAAGAATGGCACCTTTAAAGAGGGAGCCTTTACGTCAACATGGTGAGGCTTTGACAAAGGGAAAGAGGAATAAACAACAGCCAACACATACGTTCATCCATTCATCCCAATTTCTTCTAAAGTAAGCATTCACTTGTTTTTTTCCATTATCTATCTCAGTCAACTTCAGTTTTAATTTTGCGATCTTGGCCGTCACCAAGAATAAATATGAAAACAGATTGAACGTTCACACAGCAAAGAATTATAGCTAGTAGTTTGGGGGGGGGGGGGGGGGGGTTGTACGTTAAAGTCCGTTGTCAGACAAATACAACGACATCCTACATAATATTAAAAGATTCTTGTGTTGTCATGGGGAAGGTTAAAAAATGTTGCCCCACCTACAGTATATTCATCTAATCAGCTGAGGGGATGTGATGACAATACACCTGTCAAGCATTTTGTTGATGTTGGTCTTCCAAAACAGTGATTAATAATAACAATGTCATAGTTTATTTGGCTCTGCTATCAGGTAGGAGCACAGTCTTAATCTCGGGTGTGTATTTAAATAAGCTCTGTGCTTTAATACAGCCTCCCTTCATGCTGTTAGAAGCAGACTGTCCCCAGGAAGAACATATAGTCCACACTAGTCTGACTGACACCTATAACATTGGTGCCATGACCTGCATCACCTGAACGAGGCCAGCTCTCCAGCTGAGGTTCCTTGTTACAGGGGAGGGTGTGGAATGAGTGTAGGGGGATAAGAGAGAAGGAAGTGGGTTAAAATTGCTCCCCTGATAGGAGCACTAGCCCTTGGCTTGGTCGGGGAAGCACTGTTCAATTAGCTTATAGGTAGCCTAATGCTGCTGTTCATCAAGCTGGCCAGTTACACTACTTGTGTGTTTGACACCTGAGAGCAACACTGGGGGGGAATATCAATTACACCTGAATACAAGATTACGCCCCTGACACTTGTTATTCGGGGTTATTATAATGGAATCAAAATGTCAAAAAGTGCGACCCAGTTCTCACTGAGCACCTAAATCTCTAAGTGAAGCTATAGGTTTCTGCAGACAAGGGAGAGATATGTACCAGTGCCATTAACAACAAAACAATAAAGGAATAATCCAGGATATTCTGACTGAATCATGGAGATGCTTGTGCAGTAATGCATGCTGTAAACATCACAAGGAAGACTAGACAAGAGCTTAGTTATTGAAACGTTAAATAATCGTAGGCTAAACCCTGTCTCCTATCTTGAGAGCAACGGCATGATGACCTGCTGGGATTGTTTTTCGATATTGATTGATTTGGTTCCGGTCGATAAAAGGGGCAATTAAGGTGATTATTTGACTAGAAATATTAGTTTGCGTTTAAAATGATGAAAAAATAAGTAGCGGGCCGAGAGGTTACAGCAGCGTAAACTCAATCCAGAGCTGCTTACCGTGCAGTAATCAATCGATCGTCTGCTGATTGATCCTATCATCTATCAACGGCTAAACCTACTGACGGCTGTTATTTTGGAGGGGGGGGGGGGGGGGGGGGGGGGTCGCACTGAAAGTCGCCCTATCTAAAACACATACATATATATCCCCATTTTGATATCGGGAGTAGGTTACGTTTCACAATAGGCTTGATACCGTGCACGCGCATGTTTTTACGCTCGCGCGCGCCACACTGCCATCTATTAGAACATATATCGGCAGCAATGCCTCTAATAAGTAGGCCTGGGTACCCCGTTAATACGATTTGCCACTTCTCAGCCTTTCATTGACCGGTTATCATGTATATTGGGGTTAAATGTTTTCCAAAGCCACGTTTTCTTACCTTTGAACAAAGCATAAGAAGGACAAAGCCGCCAGAGCAGAGAAAATTCCACATAATTTATCTTCTTGACGACCCAACATCTCCACAAATCCTTATATATAGTTTCTATAATCCAACCAGTCCAGTGGTCCTCCAGAAAATGCACAAAGTAAAACCTGGCAATTAAAAAAATAATTGCCTTTTAAAATGTCGAATAAACTAGTCTACATCTATGCTTGCGATGTGTTCATTAAAATAGGCTTCTCGATTTAAAAAATCGTAATTGGCCCCCGCTGTTTTCCCCGGCTATGGAAATCCGTGCAGGTCACAGAGCCCCTCGACCAACACCAAAAGATCAGACATCTTGCTCAAAAAACAGCATACACAATACTTTTAAAAGTGATGACAAGTATTCTTCCCCTTAAAAAAACAAACACTGGCATGAATGACTGAGCAGCAGCCTCTTGTTGATCAAATTGGTGGATGAAATTTCCCAGTCCAAATCTGCAGAAGAGGCATGGTTCCAGCGATGCTCCGGTGCCAGACTATTCCACAACGTGATGTTGTTAAAAGATATTTGTTTGAGCTGGAAACGCTGGTCGGCAGGAGGGGAGCGGTGGGTTTAAAAAAAAGAAAAATGAAATCTTCATTCCCTTTTTTTTCCCGTTGCTGCTGCTGCTGATGATGTAGATCAGCGCAAAGTCACTGAGGGGAAAATGCACATTGAAAAAGCACTGGGTAATATCTGATGCAGACGTCAGAGCAGACTATATCACTCCTCTGGTGAAAAAATTAGATGCCGAGAAATATGGATGGCCCCCAGTACGCCAATGCATGTATCACAAGGACGGGTTTCATATCAAGGATGCAAACCCATTTGAAAAGTCCACTTGCCTCCGCTGCCCAACGTTAAATGGCGTTTGGACACGTTTATGTGATCCGCTCGTCTTCTTCACGAAACACTCCACACATGACAGAGATTCAAAAGTGAGGAAATCTTGTCTCTTTTTTCCTTTTAATATATATTTTTTTGTTTAGTTCTTAGTTGAAATTAAAATAATGTTCTATTAGGGGGAAGAAGGGGGGCACCTAAGGTGAATTCCTTAGCGACAGCCTGTCCATGCGCTGAATTGTCTGTCTATTCTCTCTCAAACCCATTAGGATGCTGTGAGTGTGTGCCGGTGCGTTTTCATGCATTTCTTTCACTTTGCCACATTTTTTTTTTTTTTTTGGAAACACGCACACACAGAAACACACACGTTCGCACCCACACACAATCACGCACACACAACACGAACACGCACACTGTTTTTATTGGTATCATTTGTTTAATTCCCTTTCACGAATCAGGAGTCGCTCTTTTGTATGTTAAAACATAAACATCCTTACTGGAAATTGCTAAGGCGCACATCACACAAGCTTGTGTTTTATATCGAGGAGGAGGTTTTCTTCAGGGATCTCTGTGCTGTCCAGTTGCTAAGCAACCCAGCCAGCACTGATGCAGTTGTGGTGATTTGAAGGCTATGCGCAAAGGCTCATTTAAAGGAGTAGACCCAATGCTGTCACCACTGTGGTGTCAGTGGGACAAAAGGCAGACAGCTACTGATGTACCGTGGAGCCATTTCTGTTATGATAGGGGAAAAACACCATTATACAATAATAATACACCTAAAAGAAATTTCGCGTGTCGGGGATATCACTCTCTCTAATCCCTGCCATGTCCTCCCCATCACTGGATCACCAACATTGTCAGGGCCACAAGAACTGTGATAAAAACTGAGTTGATCAGTGCATAGATTTTTTTTTTTTTAGTTTGAAACATGTTAATAGGCCCACTCAGCAGGCATTTGTAGCTATTGGATATCCTCCGCTGTCCACCACATGAGAAATGAGGAAAATTCAGTTTGTCCCTCCCATAGGTGATGTCATGCCACTCAACAAAAAAATATATGAATAAGCAAAGAAGGAAAAATGACAATTTGTTATGGTGTTTTCTGGTTTTGGACAATAACATTACCCATACTTGAATGTCAACATAACAAAAAAAGGTAGATTAATAACACATTTGTATTGTGGCTTACTGTAGCCTACTCTAGCTTTTGAAGTCATGTGGCCAATTAACTAGACATTCTTCAATTCCCCAATTATGAGACTGACATAATGTGGAAACTGTACATAAAATGGTATTGCAATTACATGCTGTACATCACAGGGCAACACCATGACCTGTCACCGAAGGGTGAACAATTAACACAACATGATCTGCAAGACACAGACTGGCTTTCACAGTTAATACTTGTTGCATCACAGTTAGTTTAGTGAAGCTTTCACAGTTGAATGGCAGATAAATTTGCTGCTAAGTATCAGAAACTAAATCCAAGTTCAGTTGTTGTTTGACAAAAGTAAAATCCTAACTCAGGTTTCACTTACTCAATAAAGAGGACCATTAGATGTAATTGAAAGCTTTGGAAAAAGCTAGTTAGTGGACCTCGAGTTAAGATTTGTGTCAAATTAAATCAGTTAAGTTCTTTAAAGAGTACACAGAATAGTCTTCTTGCAATTTCCAATTGGCTTCTTAATTCTTGAGTATTGTCTAAAAGGTAAAATCTGATCCGTTACAACCACAATTGGCAAAAAGGACGAGGTTTCTGTGCAGCAAAAGGTAAAAGGGGACTGCAGAGAGAGTACAGTGTCTGACGTTTAATTGTCTCCGAACACTAGGGAATCATTTTAAATTGTCATAGACAAGGTAGAGTTTGCAGAACTAAATTAACTAATAATTATCCTCACATTCAAAAAGTTGAGCTCTTTGCATCAATTACTGCAAAAAATAGTAATTATTTCCAACACGAATAAATATACTGTGCATATTCAAGTTAATTTCTGCCAGTTTACTTGTTTCTGACAAGTAAAGGACAGTATGTAAATTATTGGTGGGGTAAGAAAAGGGTGATGTTTCTTTTTGCTAAAGAGAAGGTGGTCTTAAATGGAGGCCCCTGACTTATATTTTATTTCCCCCATGTCTTGTGGGATTTACTGTTAAAATGAATTGAATAGATACATCAAAACAGCTGACATCACATAAAGCCTTTTGTGGACACCATGGACAATAAAGGGGCATTTCTGTCTCAGTAACAGAGCTTATAGTAATGTTGAAAGTCTTACATAGAGGTAACCTACAATATAATGCATGTTCAACACAGCACAATGTGTTCTACTAGTGGGTAAAGTAAAAATATTACAGTTCTGAAACCCCTTAACACTGCTTCCTTTGCCATGTTCACTTATTCATTGACAATTACTCATTGAGGTTATAACAATTACCACTGTCACCAGGGCTTGACAATAACTTTCTTGCTCAATAGCCAATGTGGTTAGTGGTTTTCCAGCATTTTCACTAGCCACATTTTTGTTGTTGGAAATTTACGTTTTACATGATTAAAGTTGACTACGGTGTGCTAAAATTTACTAATATTATCATTAGCTCTGATAAGGTTGTGTGTAAAGCTCCTTTTTTTGAAAACAGGTAGTAAGATAAACACATAAAAGAGTAGTTTCTCATTGTATATAATGAAAGTGCTACATGGGTGTAAAAAGATGAATTGAAAAGATAAAAACTAAACTGAATTTTTTTTGAGAAACACTGTTTATTTATAACAGCTGTAAATACTGTAATACAGAGTAGAAAATGATCTGCATTAGAAAGAACAGCAAAGAATAACAAATTATTTTTGTCTAAGAAAAAATCCACAATTAAGGCAACAGGATTAAAAGTTTATGTAGGCCTATATAATTTTTGTGCACTTTTGGATTGTTTGTTTTGCATCTGCATTTCCTCAGAGCTCTGATTGGATTTATCATCATTAAGCTCTGGTAGCTCTGAGTAACTGGAGATACTTCCACATGAAAGGAGTACACAGGTCTTTTTTTCCCGATTATTCCCATACAAACTCATCTTCTGCTTTCCTATGTCATGAGTACTTAGGCTATAATAAAACATAGAATCAACTCTGGAACGGTAGCCTAGTATTGTCATATTACAATATGACAATATGATGTGACAAAAGGGCAGCCCTGCTAGTAGTTTATTTTCTTTTTTAAACACCATCATTTTCCTTAATCATGAAGATATCTGTAATTTTACAGCATTTAACGGCTCTTTTCTCCATCTAAGCTCTGTCTTTTCTCTTTCTCTTGTTCTCCTGTGCATCTTTTCTACGCACACTCACGCACTGACTGTGTGTGTGTATGCATGCGACCAGTCGTGTGTGATGACAGAGATTATACCATCAGATTAAAACAAGATACACAGGTCTAAGGAATTGTGGCTGCCCTGTGACAGATTCAACTTTTATGGGCCTATTCTCGTCTGACAAATGTCTTGATGTCATATTTGGTGCACCTGGAGCGGCGGCACTGCAGGAGAGAGTGAGACTCGTCTGTGGTCTGGATTCTACTATGCTATTAAAAAAAGCTTGCTATCGCTGCCGCTGGTCAAGTTGATCATTAACAGCAGGCTAAAACAGCCCTTAGTCCGATGGCCAGTCCGGTAGTTTAATCTCCACAGCGTCAACTTGTTTACACTGTTGTTGGTAAAGACAAAAGGCTTCACGAATGGACCAACGGGCAAACACTATGTGCAGGTAGTACTCATGGGAGTTGTAGTGTCGAATTGCAATTCATTTGTTATTTCAGATGCATTTTGACAAAACTACAATTTTTCAACACGCTAAAGTAGCTAGTGGCAGTGACTGTGTTACCCGCCACGGCTGAAATCCACCCACATTTGGCGAGTGTTAATGTCAAGCCCTGACTCCTAATTAATAAAATATTGTTTATTAAGCAGCTTTAGAATGCTCAGTTAACAGGGCACGCCATTTGTAATGTTCACAATAATTTTGTTCAATCAGTCTCTCGTAATGGGTGATTTGGGCAGTCCAATCATTTTCATACAGTCCCTAAACGGAGATAAATATTGGATTTGTTTATAACTGTGTAAACCTGGTTATCCAGTGGGCTTTCACCTTTGAATCTGAAAGTTTATCTAACTAGTACCAGATTGGTTTTCAAAATGGGATTCAGTGATTTAAATGTAAATTTAAATCTATTCATAGGCATAGGCACTAAGGCAACAGTAACTGTGTGCTGGATAATTGCTGACAAAGAATACTTGTCCATATTCTTTGAAGGCAGTCCATCTCCCATAGGTTATGTTGGTGAGAGCCAGAGTGGAGCAGTGTCAGTACAGTACAGTAATGGAGTGTAATATGGAGTTTGAACCTCTGTGACAGCACGCTAGATGGATCCCTTCAGTCTCTGGGCAATGCTCAGCCTGTGCTTTCCTCCATAGTCGGTCTCACTCACAATAGTGCTACCATTCGCGGCATTCCCTGATTACCGCAATTAACTTTAATTGGCATCTATGACAAGGAGATCCAAGCCCCTGAGACGTGCATGTACCATGCTCTTTTTTGCTCCGTTCATATGTTGCATAACACATGTGAGTTACTGGGTCACCCTCGCTCCTCTGATATAAATAGTATCACATGGTTAATGCATTGGTGCCTTCCAGTCACTCTCTGTTCCTCTTGCTGTTCATATCTGTCAAACACCCCATTGGACTCCAAGTAACAGATGCTATATCTATCTTTGTTTAGAGACGTGTTTCAGCCTTCCTTCGTGCAACTTCACCTTCAGACTGTGACAGAAGTGAATATATGAGTTTTATAAAAGGGGACGACCTGATGAGAGTTAACACTAATGTGTTGTGGGATTTCGTGCGTCCCCTGATTAGAGAACACAATCAAGGCTTCCCGTGAAGAAGTTATGTTTCAAAAAAATGACAGCTCAAGTTCGTGTTTGGTCAACCTCATTGGGGGAGGAGACTCCTTTACTGGTTGAATCAAATCACTGCTGTCTCACCTTGGTTTGGAGAAGCAGACCAGGAGACAAAGATTGCAACGTTTGCCTGATTCCAGTCTGAACTTGGTGACCTGAGTCTTTACTGTATTGCGTTAGCCTGTTAGACTTTCCCAGCTCTTCAGGTTCAGTGCTCAAGTTTATAGGTAAAGGTATTTTCCTTCACGCAGGACGAGCGTGACAA